ATATTTCTTGACTATTTAGTTTAGGTTTATCACTGTTTAATAAGCTATATAATTAGTATATCCATTTTATTATCTGCATTCCTCACCTATAATGTAACTTCCTGGATGAAAGGAATTTTTGTCCATTTTATTCATGGCTCCTGGGTTGCACAACTCCAGAGCCACCATTTCCATTATTTCAGAAAACACATGGAAAATGTTAGATTCTTAAAAATATTATGTGAGGCCAGTGTGGTGGCTCACACCTATAATCCTGCACTTTGGGAGGCTGAGGTGGGTGGATCACTTGAGCTCAAGAGTTTGAGACCAGCCTAGGAAATATGGAGAAACCCCATCTCTACGAAAAATATACAAAAATTAGCTGGGTGTGGTGGCATGTGTGGGTAATCACAGCTACTTGAGAAGCTTAGGCAGGAGAATTGCTTGAGCCTGGGAGGTGGAGGTTGCAGTGAAACGAGATGATGTCACTGCACTCCAGCCTGAGCAATAGGAGTGAAACCCTGTCTGAAAAGAAAAAAAAAAAAAAAAAAAATATATATATATATATATATATATATATATGAATCAATCAATCAGTCTGTGTTTAGAAAGTATGTCTGGTAAGAGTATATTACCATATACTTAAATGGAAAATAAAGCACAAATCAAAATTATTTTTATATGATGCTATGTAAAATAATAAAAAATAAGAATAAACCCCAAAGCCTATCTCTGGGAAAGGAAAAAGGGCTAGAGAAATCACATCAAATTCTTAGAAAGTTCTACCTTTTGGTAATATGACTATTATATTATTTAAAATAATTATTTCCAATTTTCTATATTTTTCTACTTCATTAATAAGTTTTAATTTTATTATCAAATAAATAAATATTGTGGTAAAAATTATCACAAAAAATCATTTTAAAACCACTGCCCTGCTGTATTGAAGCTCATATCTCTTTGCTGTATTTCATTCTCATCTTCCAGCAAGTATTCTCTGCTATTCCTCACCCTTGATCTAGATGTCTGCTTGACTCAGATCACCTAGAGGCTGCTGGATTTTTTTAATAGAGTCAAGAAGCAGCAATAGACACTTAGAAAAAGCACAGCATTAATAGAAACAGGAAATTTAACTGACAAAAATTATTTCCAAAAATAAGTAAAAGCCTCTTCAGCATAGCAATGTGTTCTATCCCAGGTCAGCTCAGTTAAGAGATCTGAACAGTTTTCAAACTTTATCTTTCCTAAATTGGTGTGTGTGGGAGTGTGGGTGTGTGTTCACTTTTTTTTTTCTATTTTGGAAAAGGGGAACAAAGCAATAAATTACAAAAATAATGAAATAAGTGAACTAAAATCACAGAAATGCTATTCAATTAAAAATAAACGAAGCAAGCTTAAGGTTTAGCTAAGGACTCTCCTGAAAATTGCACATTAAAGAGAATAACTCAGGCTCCACTTTATAAGTAACCACTTATCCTCTTGAACTCACATTGTTTGTTAAAAAGAAGCCTGTTCTTTTAAACAGTATTTACTTTGTATTATTGACTATTCTTTGGAAGTAAATTAAAAATAATAGAGAATGGCAAGAAAGAACGTTATTTGCCAAAGAAACATGACAAAAGCATCTAAAGGACCACCTGCTTTTAACTCCTCCTTTTCCCCACAAAACACAAACAAAAAACCCCAATCCTGAACCAGAAAATAAAGCAATAACATTAGGTAAAAGGTGAACTGACAGCAAATCTATTAAGTGCCTGGATGTGTGTTACTCAGAAAATGTTTGGGACAAGATTGGTCCTGACAGATGACATAGGCCAGTGGTTTGCAATCCACACAGTGTGTTGAAATCCTCTGGGAAGCTCCTGCTGGGACTGTCCTCTCAGAGGTTCTGATTCCTTTGATTTGGGTGGGGCCTTGGAATTGGGAAGTTTCAAAAGCTCCCAGGCGATTCTAACATGCTGTTATGGCTAAGAGCCACTGCACGGGTCTAACGCCTTCATTTTATGAATGAAGAAACAGTGGGTGGAAATCTCCATGGCTCACCTGGCTCATCAGTGGCAGAACCAGTGCTTTGTTTCGAGCTTACTTCTCTTTCCACCCAATATCCTTTATACTGCTTCAGCCCAGGACAAGGTCTCATTATAGCTACTTTACCCTGCCTGCATTTAATGAGGCTGACCCTGTGATAGGTATTCAGTAAATATTAATTAAATAAATTCATATCTAGTTTTCAATTGCTGATAATGACCACATTGGAAAACTTATCAGTAGAAGTGGAGTGTGCAAACTGCCAAGCGATCTCCAGAGGTTCAGCAATGAGAAACTCTCTGATTGCCTATTTTTAGGACTCAACAAGCCATCCCCACATAACCCTAGAAGCTGCGATGACTTCTATCAAAGTTGCATGGTACCAGCTAAATGAAGAGGTTTTAGGGTAGGCTGGGGATCGTGGGGTTTGTGGGAAATGAGGAAAGAAGGAAATTCAGAGATGTTACTCCTGAGCCACATTTAAATGAAGGAAATGTACACAACCAGATCATACTAGAAATAATGACAGGCTGAAAAAGGTGGGAATATGGGGACAAAGTGAAGTTTTCCCTTGATCTGGGCAAATATAGAAAGTGCTAAACAAGAGGAGGAAAGGCTTGAAGAACAATGGCATTCAGATAAGGATGAGCGCCTACTTGGTATGATTCGCAATCCAAGCTTTCTTTTAGTTCTTTTCGGGAGCACCAAGGTATTTTATTGCCTTTCAAACTTCCGCTGACCTTGGCCTTGTCTTCAGATATTTATTTATTTATTTATTTATTTATTTATTTATTTATTTGATACGGAGTCTTGCTCTGTCGCCCAGGCTGGAATGCAGTGGCCGGATCTCAGTTCACTGCAAGCTCCGCTTCCCGGGTTCACGCCATTCTCCTGCCTCAGCCTCCTGAGTAGCTGGGACTACAGCACCCGCCACCTCGCCCGGCTGATTTTTTGTATTTTTTAGTAGAGATGGGGTTTCACTGTGTTAGCCAGAATGGTCTCGATCTCCTGACCTCGTGATCCGCCCGTCTCGGCCTCCCAAAGTGCTGGGATTACAGGCTTGAGCCACCGCGCCCGGCCTGTCTTCAGATATTTAAATTCTGTAGAAACAGAGTGAGAATTCTAATGCATCTGCTTAATTTAAGGAGAATTCAAGTTAAACTGACTGGCAATGATCTTTGCACCTCACCCATCATGCTGATGTCTAAGACTCCACATTAGAGCTGCAAGCCTTTATTTACAAGCCTGGTCTCAACATGAACATTGTCCAGGAACAGGCCACACATTAAGGTTGTGTCAGTTATTGATACTTTAAGATAATGAGTGAATGAGTTCCAACATATCCTTAAGGAGTAGTTTTGATCATCATCATTACAGAGACAACAATGGGTTTCCAATGGCTGTCTTTCACTCTTCCACCTTTGTGAGGAACAAAGCCACTTCAGTTTGCACAGTGCTTTACAGTTCACAAAATACCTTCATATCTTATCATTTATCATTTATTATTGTATGTCCCCTTTTTATAGATGAGAAAAAGTATTAAGTAACATCTCCTGGCATCCTCTTCTATTACCACCCTTGGTGAGGAACTCAATTTGAGAGAAATAGGGCATTCTAGTGGGTGGAACCACTCAAATTTGATAGATGGGCCAGAGGCATCATAGTTCTTTCCCAGGAACATGGTGAGTCAGATCCTATCCCAAGCCACCTCCTCTACCAAGAATGGCAATCTTACAATAAATGATTAGAAAACAAGCCAATAATCCTTTTTTTAAATTAAAAAACAATTTATTGAAAAAGAGTAATGCTTTATACAAATTCCCATTATAAAACCCGAAAATATCTATTGGTCTGTTTCCAGGTGTGGTAGAAGAATATAAAAATATCAAAATTGGATGAATTCTATTATAACAATTTTTTTGGTCATTTTGGGCCATAAAATTTTTTTGTAATATTTAGTAACTGATATCCACATGGAATTACACTCACACATCATGAAGATCTATGTATGTGGCAAAAGCCATTTAAATTTTAACTTCCAAAAGCATATATTCTCAGGTTTGGAAGGCACACTAAAATGTATTAGGTCCAATTCCTCGTAAGACACGGTGGCTGACTTTCCTTGTGTAGTTTATTGTGAAGTACCATCCTAGCAGCGTCAGCTGCCAGCTAACAGCAAGAGCTCTGAGGGCGTCACTTAACAGATAGCACCTTATGAGTTATTATGATTCAAAAATCTCCCTTGCTGTTGGATTTACCAACACTTAGGCTTTTATTTCTTCCCATTACATCTGCTCAGCCACGAAAAACATTGGGCCATCCTCACTGCAGAAGATAAAACTTCCTTAGAATCTTATTGGTTTAGTGCACTTAATTTTACTTCACTGTCTCATCACTTGAGAGACTGGTTAAGGCAAGAAACCCATTTCTTAATTTTTTTTTTCTTTTCAAACATTTGAAAAGCAACACCAACACGTATGCAGTTAATTCCTCAATTGTTTCCCTTAGTGTAGCACTTTTTAAATTACAAAACCACACTTACATGTATTCTATCTCACTGGATCCCCACAACATCACTGTGAGGTGGGCAGATCAGGAATTACAAACCACCTCTTACAGATGAAGCAATAAGCGTACAGCAGCCAAATGCCTTGCTCAAACACAGACAGTGATTGATAGCACGAAGACTCAAATCCAGGTCTCCAGACACCAGTGCCAACACCCTTTCCATTACATCATCTTGCTCGAGTGAAATAGCATTCTGTACAGACTGGAAAAGTAAGAGCAGTTGTTAAAGTGGCACAGAGCACAAACAACATGTCAGACACAGCTGAAAGAATGGAAATAGACTGATAGAGAGAGGAAGGTACTGAACCACATGAAGGTGTGTGTGTAGGTTTTGTTCAGTGACTTCTAAACAGCCAACTGAGCAAATAAAAACATTACATAGGCATAGTTCATGTTCAAAGAATGAGAGTAATATAAACTAATATTCACACTACCTCTTCTAACTGGTTAAATCATTATCTCAATTTGGCAGATAGAAAAAAGAGGTAGAAAGATTAAGTGACTTGCTTACAGCTGCAGAGAGAATATTTGTCACCAGCTTATCACTCCAGAAAGTCTAGCATTTTGTTCAGACAAACAGACCACACCTTATTAGGAAGATATAAACTACATGATAATTACATGTGGGAAAACAATACAATTAAGGAAGGGGAACAAAAAGGTAGTTTAGGTGGGATATATAAGTATGAATAAGTAGCTTCATAATTCAATCCATAAAATTGTGTTACAACACCTGGGTGAACAGCATGCAGCTACTCAATTGGACAAATATTTTCAAAGCAAACAAGAATGCTATGGGTCAGAGTACGAGGACTGTGTGGGAAGGTCAACAGGAATTTATCACTTTGGTCATGCAGAAAGATTTGCCTCCAAAGTTCTGATTTGTAATAAATTCTTATTGGCTTTAGAAACTAAAATGTAGACTATGAAATGTGTTAGCTTCAGGAGATAGAGACCAATGAAACACAAAACAAATAAGGGCTTAATAACGATGCAAGTGCTATAAGATTATGGTAAAAAATAAAATAAGTATATGAAAAGGGCACGCATGAAGAATTGAAAGAATTCATTCTTGGTAGATTAGACTAGGTCTTATGGCAAAGACACTAAAAGCTAATGAAGAAGAGTAAATGATATTTGACTATTATATATGTATACATAAACAAAAAAAATATACCAATAAACATTTTCATCAATATGGAATTAAATACATTTACCTATTTTTAGAGATATTTTAAGTATGCTAGTATCAACATAATGAGAAGAGTATTTTACTGTCTATTTTTAATAGAAAAACATGTATATATACACATCTATATATATTTAAGAGCACCCCCTTCCCCCATTTGAGTATGATTACTCAATGGGAAGCAGTAATACAAATGGAAAAATCTTCCCTCCTGTATTGAGGAAAGAAGATAAAATAAGACTAAGCCATGTTTAGCAATAGGTATTTTTAACACATGGGTTTCTTTGTTTGTTTTGTAATACCATACTTCAGATTGCAATACTCAAAAGTCTAAGGTCCTAATGTTAATGATAGTATCTCAATGTCCATTTTCAGTTTGTTCCAACATGATTGTCTCCTTTTGCCTCTGTGTCACACGTAGTCTTTCCCACTGGAAGGTGCAGGTTTTGGATAGGGCCGTGGTGTTGGGTATGAAGTTGTTTTTCGAGGACAGGAACAGCAAAGTAGGGCACCTCCCAGAAGGCAGAGAGAAGCAGCAGCCCAGCCAGTGAAGAGAGCCTGACCAAATTCGTACCTAAAAGGAAAAACCCACGTGCTTGTTAATCAGTGAATTATTGGCAACTTTTCTAATACAATAAAGGAAAAAAATCAATACTCATTATACTTTTTTCATTGAAAATAATCCCTCAATATCCCTTGGGAAGTACTTTAAGATTTGTGAACATATACACAAAAGAATGTTTATATTGCAATTGTTGACAATTTGCAATAGTAGGTCAGGAAATAACACATGTAATGCCAGTACACAAATAATTCCAAAGGCTTTTCCATATGTAGGATACTTGTAAAGCATGTTTATGTGTTTTAGAAGTAGGGTTTGGATCATGGTTCCTAGGCTGAAACTTAGCAAAGGAAGCTATATCACTAAGTAGTAATCATATTCTATAAAGAAACTGATAGAGCATAATGGAGATAATCAGAGTTTTGAACAGATGATCTATTGATCCCAGGCACCTATGTAATCTAAAATCCAAATTTTATGGTTTTGTAAAGAAAAGTTCTAAGCAGCCCATGAACCATTCTGGATTAAGCTGATCCAGGCAGATGAATTAAAGCAGACACTTAGGGTGGGGTATCTGTGAGTGATTATGGACAGTATGGAAGAGTAGAGAAGGGTTGGTTCTATTAGTTATAAGGCCAAGTCTGAATCCTGATGCCAACTCTCAACTGCTGCAATTCGGGGAGAGCAACTTCACCTCTCAGCCTCAGTTTCTCCTCCTCTCAAAGCAGGATAATCCCACGTGCCTCAATAGACTGCTTTTAGGATCACATGCAATCATGTAAATAATAATTGCAAAATGACTGGCAATTTATAAAGTGCTTTCCTGTGCATTACTGGTATTATGACCTTGGTGAAATTTTAGACTACTGACCTCTAGCAGTTTCTGTTCTTACATTGTAAATCTTATGGGATGGGCTCCAACACAACCATTGGAGTACGTGTTCTCCCATATGTGGGTGATTATATAAAAAGAAAAACACATCTTATCTCTCCAAACACTGAGGTTTTTCATCCACTCATCCAAGCACTCAACAAACAATAATTATATTTTAACATCCTGACTGAATGTAGTTATTAGGCATTAAAGATGTGAAGACAGTGAGATGAAGAGCCTCGTCTCTGATTAAAGAATGTTGTCACATGAGAGCTAAGAATCAGCTCGACTTGCACAACTTGCAGTATTAAGAAAGATGACCTTTGTAAAGCCAATTTTATAGTTGTGAAAGAACAAAAAATTTCAAGGTGGTGTCTGAACATACTAAAAACATATATCATAGCTTTATGTGTAAAAATGAACTGTTGGGAATGAAGTATTATTCATTAAGCCCTAGAGTAGTACAATTTTTCTCAATCAATCATAAATTGTGCATTAGTTACAAATAATCATACAGTAGGTGCTGTAAACATCAGAATACACTTCAAAAAGGAAATTTCAAGTATATTAACATCTTTATTAATACCTGAAAAAAAGGGGAAAAAAAAGAGTCCAGTATACAGTTGAAAAGTTTAGGACTTGAAACTGTTCTACTTTGGAAGGTATTTTGTCATCAATTCAGGCTGTTAAAGCAATTATCAAACTCATTTTAACATAAGTCACAGATCATTTAAATTGTTTGTAGGTTTGACATAAAATTCTTGAAAGCAAATCTGGGAAATGATGGCACTAGAAGGAGTTTGTAGAACATAAAAAGGGTATTTTCTCAGAAAACAAACTATTTTACGCATGAATAGCATTACCTGGCATTGACTGGGGTCATGGGGTCATAGAATTCTTGAACAATTCTATTGCCATACCATGCTGTGGCAACTAAAATAGCCAGACCTACAGAAATTCAGAACAAAAGACTGTTAATCACCATGGAACACTGAGCCTAAATACACAAGCTGTTAAACCAAAACATATTTTGCAAGAATTAAATCTCATCAACAGTGTTGACATTTTTATTTTGGTATTAGGAAGATTAGAAGTCCAGATATGATTTATTCTGAGTACCTATTAAAATATAAAAAATACTAGGTGGGAGTTAGACAAAATTTATGCTTTTTATGACATCTTGGCACAAATAATGCTTTTTTGGAAACAATTAGTCAGGTGTATGTTGTACATAATCTCTTTTAAATATACTGTTATATATTAGGGTACTAAACTACATTTGATGAAACTATTGTCATTATTAGTACAGATGGAATTACTTGCAAAAGGGGAAGATGAAAACTCTTCTATGTTCTTGATCAAACTCAAAATTTACATTTCTGCAGAATCAAAAGGAATGCAAGCAGCTAGACAGCAGTGAGATTAGGACATGTCTCAGAATGGACCAGAATACCTGCATTACTACTGCCCCATTGGCCAAGGGAATACCTGGCACAGGTATAGATTGACCTGAGATTTGTTGAGGGTGCCACATCAGACCAATTTATGCAACCCAATCTCAATTTCCCATGGCATTTTATATTCAATGATAGCAGATACATAATTTAGTCAAAATCATTCCCTTAATCATTTATAAGATTTATAAAATACCTCATTTTTTCTTATCAGAAAAGTTAAATAACTTTCTTATAGTAATTTTAAGCATTAATCAATATAGACAGATTAGACGTTTCTATGCTACTCTCCCCAACCAAAAACATAGTCCAGTGTAATTGCCTCTAGACATGACAGAAAACACTATTGCTTTTGGCTGCTCAAATAGACCATGTGAATGGTCTTGAACTTGTGACCCTTACTCCTAAGAGAAGTCCCTGAAACTGGAATAGGAGTGATGCAGTCACCTGCGGGAGTGACAAGAAGGCAAGCAAAAGAAGAATGCAATGCATTCCATCCTCATCGTCTTCCAAGCACTTCATACACTTCATGCCAACGATGGCCACAAAGATTACTATTCACAGCCTTTGATATAAGATTAAATTATTGGGAATAAAACACTATCCATGCCTTTTTGGACAGGAGACAATTTGTATTTGGGTAAACTGAGAGACTGGTCATTTTAAACTGACCATATCTTTAGCAAAGCCACAGATACTCTTCCTCAATTACTGGTTAAACTGATACATTATACTGGAGCAAAAGCCCCTACAAGTCTTCTGTCAAAAATAAAACAAGAAAATAAAGTCTATTCTAGTTTTTCCTATTAGTAGATTTATATCATTAATTATATCTGTTATTTAAAAATATATACTATAATATACTACATATATAATATATGCATATAATACCTAATATAGAGAATATATAGTAATCTATGATAGCTGTATAATATATACAGAGATTATATATATAATACAGTGTACAGATATAAAAAACATATACACACACAGAGATTATATATATGTATATATACACATACATAATATACATACACTATAATTTTTTAAATAAGCATTATTATAAAGCTTTGAAATAATGCTGTCCATGTTTTCTGACTTTGATTTTCTGAAATGACACATAATGTAACTTATCAATCAACACTTGATTTAAAAAACAGATATTTTCCTTCCTTTTTTTTTTTTTTGGAGACAGAGTCTTTTGTTGCTGAGGCTGGAGTGCAGTGGCGCGATCTTGGCTCCCTAGTTGAGGTGATTCTCATACCTCAGCCTCTGGAGTATATGGAATTGCAGGCGTGCAACACCACATCCAGCTAATTTTTGTATTTTTAGTAGAGATGGGGTTTCACCATGTTGGCCAGGCTGGTCTCGAACTTCCGACCTCAGGTGATACGCCCTCCTCAGCCTCCGAAAGTGCTGGGATTACAGGCATGAACCACCATACCTGGCCTAAGAAACACATATTTATTTTCAATGGAAAATATAATATCATTATTTTACCAAAAAAATTTAAAAGTATTTCTGTATTTTTTTTTTCCTGCCTTAAACTGACCATTCCAACAGGCCACCTCTACTCCAGTTGGCCTTTCTTTTCATTGGTCTATGGGTACATCCTGTTTATTCTTGAATTCGATCTGCCCAGCTGGAATGCTATCCTTATTTTTCTCCAATAAACTCAATCCTTCCATCCCTCACAGACCTGAAGGGTTCACATATTTTCTTGTGTTTTCTCTCACTATTCCCCATCTTTTCCACATAGAATCTGTGGAGACAACATAGGAATTTTCTGAATTACGTGAACTTCCTCCTTAGCGTTTGCTAAATAGTGAACAACTTTCTTCACTGTAAGAGACTGGTTCTAACAAACCAGTTGCCACTTGAAACTTCAACCAACAGACCTGTCAGATGTGAGCAGAGCTCTCAAATTTTCATTTGGTTCGTGTTTGAGAACATGAAAGTCAACTGGACTTCAGGTCTATGTTTGCAGTTTGCCTTAGAGACTGAAATCAAGTGTAATGAATCCAACGTAATAGATTTCAAATCATACTAGGAACAGATTAGTAAGGTGAAAGCAAGGCACAGCCTCTATTACCTGCAAGAAGAAATATCACGCCCCCAATGACAGCCATCCTCATCTTCTGTACCTCATCGTCTTCCAAGCACTTCATACACTTCATGCCAACGGTGGCCACAAAGATTGCTATCACTCCCAGGAGGATGCCAACCACCATCAAGGCACGGGTTGCTTGCAATGTGCCTGGCAGAAAACATTTTAAAACATGTGAAATATGCTTGGACCAACAAGAGAAAAATGGAAGAAGACCAAGTATATGTCACTGTTGTATGGAAAAGAGAAAACTGGACTAGGAATCTAGAGACGCCAGTCATACTGGTATTTCCACTGGTAACCCAACATACACTGTCTTCTCCAGAAAAACAAATGCTGGACTGGATGATGAAAAAGAGATCCCTCCACTCCAAGATTTTATGTTTTCAACATTAAATTCAAAATCAACTGGAAAAATAATTAATGATCTAATTGAATAGGGTTAGCTGAACTAATACATATTTATTTTTTACTAAGGGATTTTAATCCTTGCTAAGATAATTTTAATTTTAAGTAGCAATCATATATATGATCCTGGATGTTAACTATTTGTAATCAAAATGGTTTTCAGTATATCTTTGATATTAGTTACCAGCTTTACACCCCAATCAGCAAGCTTCAGAAAAACTGGGTGAATTGGAGGATAAAAAATAAATGTTTTATAGATTATCATGGCTGGATAAGCAATATTCGTATCTCCAGTGATGTGAATAGGACGAGTAGGGGAGAATATAGAAGTCATTTTCTTAAAACAAAACAAAATAACCTTTGAGATGTTACCTTGAAACATAGTAGTAGATTCTTATTCAAAGACATCACCAGTTTTTAAAGCTATTTAAGCTGTGATGTTGTAAAATAACACACGCAATAATTCAATGTAGTGTTTCTCAGGATTCCATTTTTTTCTCATTCCCCATTATTATTTTTGGTGCACTAACTCCTGAGCAAATAAACAGGGTCAAGTTTGAGAGATTATCAATATGTTTCTTAAAGAGTAAAAGCTTGATTCATTGTGGCATAAAGGCACGGACTTTTAAATATGAACTGAAACTGTGCTGGTTAGAAGATTTTGTTTAAATTCTAGATTTATGTCCTCTTTTAATTAAAGATCACTATATCATTGACAGTGATAATATGTGACAAGTACTTTTTGCATATGTAAGTATTTTTCAGCTTTAACGAACTATGCTATCTTGAGCAAGAAACTTAGTATTATTTGGAATAATATTTCAATTATATAAATAAAATGTAAATTATATCTTTATCCAGTGGATTGGAACAATTGACTCCTTGATGGTCTTTGACTGAGATGTTGGAAAGGTTTTGTATCTCAATGTCTAATTAGGCCTAAGCTTAGCCTTAATATCATCAAGATTGAGAACTTAGGTTACCAATCATAACTGAAGCTAAATATTTCTAAAACTTCATTAAATCTTGATTTACTGATTATCCATCTTTGCTATAACCAGACAATCTATGATAAAATTATAGTAATCTCTTTCTTTTTCTTTTTTTCCTTTTTTTGAGACAGGGTCTTGCTCTGTTACCCAGGCTGGAGTGCAGTGGTGCAATCTCAGCTCACTGCAAACTCTGCCTCCGGGGCTCAAGCGATTCTCATCCCACAGCCTCCTGGGTAGCTGGGACTACAGGCAGGAGCCACCATGCCGGGCTTTTTTTTTTTTTTTTTTTTTTTTTTGGCATTTCAGTAGAGATGGGTTTCACCATGTTGTCCAGGATGGTCTCGACCTCCTGAGGTCAGGTGGTCCACCGACCTCGGCCTCCCAAAGTTCTGGGATGACCAGCATGAGCCACTGCGCCTGGCCATAATCTCTTTCTAGAGTATCAAAGGTATTGTTTACAGTATTTGAGAGAGATTTTGGAAGCCAAGGTAAAGTTTTACTTGATTTCATTTAAAAATAAAAAAGAGACTTCCTGATTCCCCTCATACACTGACCTCCTCATAAGCATGTATGGGCGCACATGCACACTGACCCACACACTTATATCAAGACTCCAGGTGGCAGAGGGACTGCTGGATCAAAACACATGTTCCATGGACCACAGATTTATCAGGAAGGAACTGAAGCTGCTTGTAAGGTTATTACACAACCGTTTGCTTGGAATCACAAGCCGTACTGTGGTATGAAGAGGAAAGTACCAAGGACTCCATGGTTAAGGTATTTCCTCTTTCTGAGGGATGGTTTTTGCAAAGGCTATCATTATTGGAAAATAACAAATGAAATAACCCATACATAACACAGATTCCAGATGTGATCCTAAGATTACACTTGGAAGGAAAATATTTCAGGCAGAGGTATGCTGGAAGAGGAGATGCTGAAAGTAACAAAGATGATCCATGTCTGGAGGATAGGGAAACCACATATCTCAGTTTGCCTGGAACAATCCTAGCTCTAAAGTTGAAAGTCTTACATCCTTAGAAGGTCCTCAGTCCTGGACAAATTGGGAGAGCTGGTCACCCTAATGTAGGATGATAGGATGTGTAAAGTAAAACGAAGTTTAGCAAGGTGGGCAGAAGGCATATGTCATGCAGAGCTTTGCAAATTAGGGTAAGAAGTTTGGATTCTATTCTAAGTGTAATCAGAAGTCATATGATTGTCTTGAGAAAGGGGCGACATGATTTTTACTGTCAGTATAGAGATCACACAATCAGTAAATATTATTTCTATGATAGCTCTTCCAGCATCCAGCATCTTATATTTCACAGCCTCCTCCATTTTATTTTTTCATAAATACTCTTTTTCAACCTTTTATTAATCATTTTCGGTGTTTTTTCTGATCTTGCTCCAAGTTTTTCTCTTTGTCCAACTTGTGGGGCTGCAAACTGGACCCAGTTTATATAATAATCACACTGATCTTTTCTTCAAGTAAAAACAGAAGGTCACTCGTCCAGCAGGTCTGAGCACTTAGATGACAGGGTAGTCTTCAAGAGAAGTCTAACCGGGCATCAATCTCATGAGTCAGACTGTGTAAAACTACTGATCTCCCAGGCAAGGAACACATGTGCATGAACTACTCCAGGGCCCTCACTGCACCCACCTGGAATATCTAATATTCACATTTTTAATCTCTAAGTTTTTGCCCATTAAGTTCTCAAAGAAAACACATTTGATGCATGTCATATCTATCTTGCCACTCCGTCTACAAAGTGTTCTTTCCAAGGGGCTGGGGACTAATATTCTGTTCTGTGATTGCTAATAAACCTACCAGGTTTCCTTTCTCTATAGAATAATATATTATTTGCATAATACACAAAAAGTAATGGAGAGAATGGAAAACACAGTATTTAAAAATTGCATAAACCATAGAAATGAGATCCTGTTTTGTTTTTTAAAATGTCATTTTGCAAAGTAATATTTTCACTTACATCCTGTCAACCATTGACTTATAAAATTTATTTGTATGTTCCAATATTAGATTTGCATCAAACCCAAAATCTTACTTTACTTCATTGGAGACATTTGGATAAATTCTTAAGTATAGTGATATGTGAGGAAAATGCAAAAATAATATACACATGCAGTCACGCACAAAAAGCTGAGAATTAAAACAGCACGAAAACTCACAAGCAAGGCATAGGTAATCATAGATTACAAGTCAAAGTGAAGCAACTATTGTGTTACAAGTTACAAGTGTTTTATGTGCAGATAAAATCTAAATTGCACAGTTTTAAGCTGGAACCAGATGAATACCTTCACATCATAGAAGTGTTTTAAATCAGAGTTGTAAAGTATGTAATTGTGAACTCCTGGATGATTTGAATCAGATATTTATTCCTATTTCCATCTAAAGCACCAAGCACAGTACTGGAAAAGTCACATGGATTTATCAAATTTCAATAAATTTAAATTAGAACATGTCTTTATGCTTTAAAAACTGTACCAATATGATAGGTAAAAATACTTATTCTCTTTTGTTTAGCTTAATTTTTGAAATAATGCTGAGAAACACCTCCCCTGAGAGCCTGGTATGCTAAAATCTTGCTACCAAAAGCCAGACTTAGCTTAGGTCACTAAAAACTAGAAACTCATGCAGATAATACAAATTGTACTTTTTGCTTAGTTTGATCTATTTTTTAAAGTATGCGTCTAACGAGCTTCAAAGCTGAAGTTTTGTTTTGTTTTTCCCTAATGGAATGATGAGTGGCAGAGCAGAGAAGTTAAGAGGGATGTTTGAAAGCTATAAAACAACATTTTGGATGAGATAGATGCAGTATAGCCTTGCAATATTAACTTTGAATTGGTTTGATTAGAACAAACCTATGAACAAACATATTCCTTTTCTCGCCTCTTAAATTTGCAGCTAACTCTGCAATATTATGACCAATGACTAAAGTTGTCTATGGAGAACCTGGTTAACAAACATTAAAAAGATTACACTATTTTTTCTCATCATTATTCAGCAGTAAACAGAGAAGGCAGTCTTTTAATTACATTTAGCTAGACTGATAATCTTGAGATTAAAGACCCCCTAAGGAGTTCTCATCATTTTCAACCTGAAAGTATAATTAAAAGTAAATATGAAGATCTCTACTTACGAGACAAGAAGTGAGTTGGAAGTTACTGATCTGCTACAGTTAGGTTAATCAACAAATGTGTAGAAGACATATATGGAATTTTTCTAAAGCTTTAAAGTCTTGCTATACAAGCAGTAGAATCTACTGTCAATACCAGACATTGTTTATGCTATTTTCTAGCCATATTACCTTAGGTTCTATATATCATAAACAAAATACAGTCATCTCTTGGTATACAAGGGTGATTGGTTCCAGGACCACCCACAGGTAACTAAATCTGCACATGCTCAAGTCCTACAGTTGATCCTGTGGAAGCCTTGTATACAGAAAGTCAACCGTCCCTACATGCAGGCTTTGGACCCTCAGATACTGTATTCTTGATCGGTATAGGTTGAAAGAAATCCACCTATAAGTGAACCCTTGCCGTTCAAACCTGTGTTGTTCAAATGTTGACTGCAGATTCCAATTCTACCTCATTCCCACATCGTCTCTCTTTGGATCTATAGTTGCTTAATTAGTATTAAGTGAATAAATGAACTGATGATTGGGTGACTAGAACAAAAATACTATACTTTCTTCTCCCCTGCAATTAAGTGAGCTCAACACAGACCGTCACAGAAGTGTACTCCCCTGGCTTTTTTTCCATATTAAATCTTTTGCTCTTACTGAAGTTCAACGTTTCATAAAAGTCCTAATCGTTAGCATTTCTCGCTTATTGGTGCATGAGGTGGTGGTCACCAGATGTGACCTCAGAACATCAGCAAAATCAGGGGTGAAAATGATCCTGGATGAGGCAGGATGTACCACTTTTCAGGATGTCCTCAGAAGTTTTGCTACCTTTCTCGTTTGTGTGTTTCTTCGAGAAATTTTCTCAGAATTAAGTTGATGCTTCTATATTACCTCCACTATACTTCCTTAATCACTCCAATTAAGGAAACCTAAGCTATGTGACTTGTCTCTTCCTCTTCAATCACTGAAGTAATAACAAAGAATGCTGGCACTGGAAGGCATCTTAGAACTCAGCTGCACCATCCTTAGCTGCAAGAATAGGGCCTGGCTCGCATCTGTTGAATGGATAAATGAATCATAGATTCATCTCCCCATTCCTCCCACTCTGCCCTATTTTATAAGTGGGGTAACTACTTGAAACCAGGGAGATCACGTGGTTCACCATTATACACCTGGCTACTTAGTGCCAAACCACAGTAAGAATAGAGAACTTCTGATCTCAAGCCTGGATTTTTGTTTCAACTTCCATTATTCTAAGAGTCAGAACTGATTTATGAAGTATATCTGAACACCAATGGTCCTTTGAGTACCCTTGGTTCAGCAGGCATAAAGCATCTGGAGAAGCATAAATAGGTGCCCTCCTCTCCACTTAGGCTTCAAAGACTGTCCAAGTCAGTGATTTTGTTTCTCTGATTGAGCCTGACATCATGGTGAGAGTGCTGGGAAACCTCACAGCCACCAATACTCATTAAGCACACCTACACACATGTGGATTCATGCAAAGCAAGTTAAACAGGCTAGAGGAGCTTATAAACAAATTACAGAATCCCAGTGTTCGCTGAGATTGAGAGAGAGTCTAGCCTAACCTCCCATTTGTCTGGTGCTTGGATCTTCCCTACAACATTCCTTCAAAATGCTTATTTATTCTCTGCTTGCACACCTCCCACCATGCAGCCTCCTACAGCAACCCAGTCTTTGGACAGCTCTAGCTATTAAAGTCAACTAAGAAGAAACAATTAACCAAGCACATAAAATTGGTGCTAGCTTCCTAAAAGTTTGAGAATTAGATGAAAACAAGCAAGAGGTACAGGTGACTCCAGAAACGTCTACTGCAACTGTATCTGGCATTTTTTTGTATATTCCAACTTTCAGCTACAAGAATGCCCAGGGTCAATAAAATCTCATACTTTGGATGAAATGGAAATTGTATCAGCCATTGTAAAACTACAATACACAATGTGACATTTGTTTCCCCCAGGAAGTTCCTCAGTTACATTTTCATAAACTGCTTGCCAAGAACTACCTAAAAGAAGAAGACTTGCTGTATCTCATTTTGTATTTACTGTATACACTATTAGCACACTGTATTCCTTCAGCTACTTTATGAAGGTCATATGCTTTTTACAACCTACCCTACATAAACCAGGGAAACAAGAGATTTTAATACCTCCAGTGCTAAAGCCTTGGCAAAGCCCTGCATCTGGGCTCGAAGACAAGTGTTCTCTACTGGGAAAGACAGCAAGGTACAATTTCAGGAAACCCACAGCTAAGCTTTTCACCTAAACACACTTAATGAAATGCAGCTTTTTTATGAGGGATACTGCTTAAATATACACACATAACCCTTTTCGTCTCCACATGTAACAAAACTATCCCAAAACCGGCCAATGAATCACCATCCCAGATCTCTACAGCTGGTGGGCGTAAACACCACTGCTCAGGCAGAGAAATGGAGTGAGGTTTCCTGGACTCCATCCAAAAGCATGCCGCGAGTCATGGCAGGTTCGAAGAGAAAACCTGCGAGTCCAGGGTCCCTCTTCTGAGAATGGGTTTTGAGAGAAAGGTGTAAGCCACACCTTGGATAAACTCTGGCTTTAAGTAAAACAAAAGTGGATTCTGATCTGGAGTTTAAAAAAAACAACTAAGAAGACACCTCTAAAGTGTATGTGGGGGAATAGCTATTTAGTCCTTTCACCGCAGTTTTAAAAACTGTGATAACTACATTAACCAAAAAATGAAAGCAAAACATTTTAACACATTATCGTGTGTAAGGGTGATCCCTTTGAGTTTTTACAACATGGATCAATCTGATTTCATGTGGTCATTTCAGGAAAGTTAAAAGAAAACCTATTTAAAGATGTTGAAAGGAACTATTTTGATCAGAGGAACAAAACTGACAGTGAGGCCTCTCTGGAATTGTCCTTAGAAACCTCCGTCTGCCAATTCCTTAACGTGCTACCTAAAATGCCTGACACCGTTTCCTTAAATATATCTATCTTTCCATGGAGAAATTCAATAATTATTACCTAATTTTTCACTTTATAAGCACAAATATAACCCATGAGGGCAATGAGCAACACATAATTACTAAACTTAGAGATTGGTTTTGGTGTAAAGAAGTCCTAATATGGGAACCTTCAGAAGCTGAAATCCTAACACTCAAAACGACCATGCACATTGACTGAGCCAATGCCACAGGTATTCAAGGTGTTTAAACAGATGTGGAACAGGTTTAATAGCTCTAAACTATATGGCTTTTGATATACACTATTAAAAGTTGTCCATTGATAGGAGGTAGACAAAACAAGTTAAGTAAACTTGAACAATGCCAACACTTTCCACCCTTAGCACACAATGGGGGCTAGTGGGCAGTCACGTTTATCTAGGCAAAGACTAAGGGACCTTTTCTTCAAGTGAGTTAAAGGGCATAACAGACACATGATATAAGACAAGTAATGTGATTTCTCTAGGAAGATACTCCAGCCATGAATCATTATTACCTAAGTAAACGGGAATTTAATGATTTTTCTGACAAGGCACTCAAAACCTTTAGTTAAAAAAAGTAAAAAATTATCCTATTATCCTTCTTCCCACCATCCTTAGAAATATGTCTCTCTATACAATCCTTTCCAACGTGACAAGGGGTCACTGAACATCCATTACACAGAAATTCCTTTGTGGAAGATGGAAACCTAAGGAAGACCCACCTCTTCTTTCTCTCTCACTGCCTTCCACTCCCAGCTGACCTCTGATTTCATCAGCTATGACTATTTTGCTGCATTTCCCTTCAGTGCCTTTACTTTTCCCTTTGTATTATGTTGGGCAGGTTATTTAGAACCTTTGTTGTCAGCCTTCCCCCACTTGCCACCAACCTTCTCTTTCCAAAATAGAACTACACCATTAGCCTCCACCGAAGACCTTGGGTGTAAAACTTCAAACTTTGGGGGAATCTCAAGCGGCTTCTCCAGAGTCTTGCAAGGGGCCTCCCTGCACTAACTAGATCTTACACATTAAAAGAATCATCCTCAAGTATGAGCAGAAGACACTTGGGACATTTCAAGTAGGAATGTAAATTTTACTATGCAAAATCATAGTAAAGGTTACAAAAATTATATCTCATACTTGAGGATTATTTATTTAAGCTTGCACACTTGAGAAGTTACCAGGCTCCAAACTTTTTAAGCCATCCCATTTTTCTTGTCTGAACCCTACCAATCCTCAATTTACCCCAGATCTCAGAATGCCTAGGAGAGGTCTCAGAGCTCAAGTTCAAGTTTAGCCTTCACTCCCTCAATCTCGACCCCCCGGCATAGGAATTTAGGATGAAGCCACACCTAGAGTGGCAGAAAAGTATCACCCAGGGAGTTTTAGGCAAAACTAGAGCTTATGCCTGGGCGTCCCTTTTCTCAGACCAGGATTCTCTTCATTTCCTTACGACAGAGCACATGATCAGAAGACTTGATCAACTGAAGACTGATAACCATGGAATCACAGGACAGAATGAGACGGTAAGGGAGCTGCAGGGGGACTGGGGCCTCTGGACGGCTGGGAGGTGGGGTGCACTCACTGCTCAGATTCAGCAAGGAGTCAAAGACTTTGCACTGGATCTGCCCGGTGCTCTGCGACACGCAGGACATCCACAGCCCCTCGTACATGGCCTGGGCGGTCACGATGTTGTCGCCGGCATAGGAGTAAATCCTCCACTGGGGCAGGGCAGTGCTGACGATGGCGCCGATCCATCCCAGGAAGGCGAGAATGAAGCCCAAAAGCTGCAGCCCCGCGTTGGCCATGACTCGCTCGGCCGCCCGCGCTGGCTCAGGGGTGGCAGGTGCAGAAGGCAGAGAGTTTGCAGGTGCGCAACGCGGGCTCCCGAAGGTGGCTGGGCCCCGCGGAGGAAGTTAAAGCGGGGAGCCCTGCTCGCTGCGCCGCCGCTGGAGAAGCTCTGGGTCCGGGCTGGGGTCCGGGGCCCGGGCGGCGCTGGAGTCTGGATACTAGAAGCTGCGGTTGCTCCCAGGCTCAGGAACTGAGACGCCAAACCGCTGGGCGCCGCGATTTAAAGCAGCTCCGCCCGCCTCGGCCCCGGCAGCCGGGGAGCGCCCCCTGGCGGTGTCAGGGCGGCTCACCGAGAGGGCGCCGGGAGCGCCGAGTTGGGGGAACACGCGGCTGGTGGCGTGGGGACCATCCCGCAGGACCAGGCACTACAGCTGCGTCCCTGCTCGTTTTCTCTGGTGGATCTTCCCGCTCCTGTCAGGCGTTTCGCGCTTTTCATTCATTCACTCCAATTATCCAAAAATTACTATGCACTGTACCTGTAAATCCAAAAAACAAAGATGAAAAAATGAGCCCTCAAGAGCTGCAGTTTTAGGTTTAATACCTTTTTCCTATTATTTTATTAAAAGGCATTTCCACCCAACTCCGCATCTCCTCCCCCATCACACACATTTCTCTCTCCTTTACTTGGCTTCCTCCCCCTTCTCCTTTCATCTCTCTGCTCCCTTCTGTCAAGGTCGTTCCATTACTTGTCTCTGCAAGAGAGAGATCTTTACACTCTACAAATTGGGAAACAGACCCAGAGAGGAACATGATTTACACACACACACACACACACACACACACACACACACACACACAGCATATCCAGTACTTGGCTCCCCTCCCAATCTGCTTTCCACTACATATCAAGTTGACCCAAAAATACCCCCTTTGATCTCTGATTGTCCTTTTTGATGTATTATTGTCCTTACGAAAATGCAGCCTAGCCCTCCCCCGCCAAACACCAACCTCCTGCCCACAGCAGTTATGTCTTAGGCAGCAATTCATTATCAGAGAGACCTGGTCGGTGCCCCGCTCTCCCTGAAAGATGTTAATTTTGTGAGTTATCACATGCTGTTCGTCACAGGTGAGGGCATGTAAACAGCGTTTCCCAGTGGAAGAAGGACTGGGCTGGAGTTGAGGAAGTCTGGGCTCTGGTTCCAGCTTTTGCTGTGACTGGCTATGTCACCCCTCCGGTTTCGGTCTCGCTGGGACTGTAGTTTCCCTCTATGCTTCTCTAAAGCTTCCTTCTTTGTAGTTAGTCAGAAGTGCTGCTGTGGTTAGGAATAATTGAAGTGTTTTCCCACTGCTTTTTGTGCGTGGTGCGAGTGTGGTGGGAGGGGAAGCTTCTATGGTTTTAGTAAAAACAGAAGCACCTTGGAAGCAGAAATAAACATATTAAGGAGAAAACAAGATATACTCTTATATACCATGGCAACTGCTAGTGGGTGACAGAGAAGGAAAGGTGCAAATGCTCAAGGAGGGAATGGGAGGAAAGGCCAAGCCCCACCACCTTCATTTCCACCTGGCTCTCCCTGGATGCCTTTCGTGTAGGCTTACCACTAAAGGACTTGGCCGTGCTAGGATTTGGGGACAAGCACTGAAGAATGTAAAACAGGAGTTAGATGAAGACATTTAATTTGGACTAAGATTAACACAGTGAATGCTGTCTTTCTCCTATCAGCTGTTTAGGGCAAGACCATGTCCCTGTTGTATCCCAGGGTTTGGGCCTGCAGTCAGTACTACTTTCTAGGTCTCGGTGGATGTTCTGTGGGTGCCTGTCAGTGTGAATGAAGATGTATCAATCACATTTGATTTTGTAAAAATTCCCTGATCAGAGAAGGCACTAGAATTTGCTGTAGGACTAGACCAGTACCATGTGAATCACATAATCTCATTTTCCTTTTTTTGTTCCAAACATTTAAGAATTAAAACTGTTATTAAACACCCAGGCACGGTGGCTCAGGCCAGGCGCAGTGGCTCACGCCTGTAATCCCAGCACTTTGGGAGGCTGAGGCAGGCGAATCACTTGAGATCAGGAGTTCGAGATCAGCCTGGCCAACATGGTGAACCCTGTCTCTACTAACAATATAAAAATTAGCCGGGCATCGTGGTGGGCACCTGTAATTCCAGCTACTTGGGAGGCTGAGGCAGGAGAATCGCTTGAACCCTGGAGGCAGAGGTGGCAGTGAGTCGAGATCGTGCCACTGCACTCCAGCCTGGGCAACAGACCAAGACCCCATCTTGATAAATAAATAAACAAATAAAGGACATTATCTGAGTCCAGTAAATGTATTTGTGCACAGGCCCTTTTAATCTGCATTAGGCCTTGTTTCTATCAACCTACAATTAGCAGGGAATTGGAGGGATGAGTTCTGTGGTCAGTAGGGTCCTGTGTTTTTGTTTGGTATTTCGGGTCTGTGTGAGACGGATTACTTCACTGCCCTCAACCATGTTTGTGAGGCTGAGGTGAATCCTGTTTGCTTCACTGTGATTCAGGCTCATCTCTAGGCAGCCTTAATCCTGTCTAGTTTTCTGCTCCTGGCTTCAGTGCAGATGACAGGTGAGATAATGGCTCAGCATAAATCTATCAACTCAACAGGAAAACAGCTTACAAACACTGGCCTTTCGTATATGAAACATACACACTAAAGGCAGCACTGAGACCCAGAAGGCTCTAGAAAGGCTGGCAATGGTATGGTAAGTGTCCTAGCCTGTTGAGTAGTAAAATCTGCTATGTACCCTCAGACAAACTACTTATTTTCTTCCTCAGTTTCCCTACCAATAAAAGTTATGGGGTTAATTTCTGAAAGTCACCCAGGTCTGAAGCTTTATGACTCTAAGTAATGACAGCTGGCACTTGTTGCTGTCTATTTTCATCAGTGTTGAGGTCAGAGTTTTATATGTTATCTCTACTTGCAGGTAACAGACACAGAGAGGTCAGGTTGCTTATCCAGAGTCATATTGACTATGACAGTGCTGGAATTCCAAACTGTATAATTCGACCCTGGTGTCCATGCCTTTAACTGCTCTCCTATAGTATTTCTCTGTGTTTTGACCCTGGTGTCCATGCCTTTAAATGCTCTCCTATAGTATTTCTCTGTGTTTTGACCCTGGTGTCCATGCCTTTAACTGCTCTCCTATAGTATTTCTCTGTGTGACCCAAATCAATTGAGGACAATATTTTTTTTCTTCTTTGGAAGAGCTTAGACATACTTATCATGTGTTTCTTGCTCCAGGCAGTGGCAAGATATTTTACTCTGTGACTGTCTCTTCTCAATATCTGTTGCAGCCCACTGAGAATTTATACCCTGGGGATTTAGAATCATGTGGCAGAAAGTTGTTGCTGTTGAGGAAGAAGATATGTGTAAAAACAGCAAATAGCCTACTGGTTTATTCCATGTGCTTGTGTGCCTGATGCTTGGGCTTCGCCATGATCTTGAGAACCAGTAATAAGTAGAAGAGATACATGCAGAAAAGATAGAAGCAAAGGTAAGACTACGAGTGTCAGAAGAGAGTGTAGACAAAGAACCAAGCCTCTAAGAGGCAGCATGGCAGACTCTCGGAAATGGTTAATGATGACAGTAAGAAAGACATTGGGATATAAATTTTTTTGCTTAGTGTTATATATATGTTAATGTTGACTTTTCAGAGCTTCGTAAGTGGTAAAAGCAAAACCAATGAACACATTACTAAGTGAGCAATCTGCTGTATAATTATTTAGGGCTTGAGAAAAGGATCAGAGTATGAATATTGTAAAAATTTGACATGAATTTTGGTATTAAAACATACAGGTTACTAAAAATACATTGCTGTGTGACTGACACAACCTTTTAAAATGGCCCTTTGAAACTCCTTAGAGTCTTTGAGAGGGTAGTGAGGGGTAGTGGTCAAAAGCACAAACCTTTTGAATCCCGTTTCTGCCACTTAAAGTAACCTTGAGAAATTTGCATAACATCCCTCTTGCGACTCACAATTTTTCTTCTTTTGAATGGCTCAGACCCTAGTGCTGTTATGAACATTAGACAAGTTCATACATATACGTTATTTAGAATAGTAGCTGGGATATAGCAAGCATACATGAAATAGTACTTACTATTTCAAGCAGATCAGATACATTTAGTTTCTAATCCTGCCATTTGCAAATGATCCTCATGTTTGTTCGGAAGGACTCTTTCATGCTTCAATTGTTACAATCTCACTTAATGTCATAGTTAAATCATAGTGAAAAGATATGCAGTTTCTCTAGAACGATGACACAATGTTGTGTTCAGAAAAAGAAAAGGCAGCAATGGCATAGATATGAGCTTTAAATGAGATTTCTAGGTCCCCTCTCCAAGCTTGGCAACATTTTCCCTCCTAGCCCTGGATAGGTTTCCTGGTTAGGACTAATGCCTGAAGGGTTCTTCTGAGGAGGGGTTGGTCAAGAGGAAGAATGGCGATGTGATGTCAAATGACTCTCACAGGCCTGCAAGAATCTTTAGAGGGTAATGAGAGAAAAACAAACAAAACCTCAGTTTGATATTTTTATTATCAAGTATCTCCCTTGTTTTCATGGAACATAAAACTTCCCCCATAGGTTCCCCCCTTAACTCCTAGCCTAGCAGGTCCATCTCTTCAGAGAATTTGGGAGGGGATGACATTTTAGCCATAAAATCTTCTATTTCAGTCATAAAAGGTTACTTTGAAACAAATTAGTGAAGGACTATTCCTTTTATTCCTTTACTTGTGTCATTTGGGGAAGATCTTTTTTATCTTAAAGATGCTAGAAACATTCAACTTATTTGAACAAGGGTCAAGGTCAAATTGGTAATATTTTACTTGAAATCTCTTTATTATAACACTAGCTTTATTAGTGAGGGTTCTCCAACGAATAGACTATATATGTGTATTTGTGTGTTTGTGGAGAGAGAGGAGAGAGGGAGAGAGAGAGAAGAGGGAGAGAGAGAGAATAGGGAGAGACAGAGATTTATTATAAGAAATTGGCTCATTCAATTGTGGGAGCTGCCAAATTCAACATTCATAGAGCGTTCCAGCAGGCTGAAGACTTGAATAGGAGTTGATTTCGCAGTCTAGAGTCTGAAATTTTTTAGTCTTCAGGAGAATTCCTGCTTTTCTGGGAAACCTCAGTATTTCCTTGATTGAATTAAGCCCATCAAATTACAGAGGGTAATCCATTTTATTCACAGTCTACTGATTTAAATGTTAATCACAACTAAAGAATACAGCCACATCTGGGCTGGTGTT